TTGGGGAGAAGGTCTGGAAGTAGTCCACACCCTCATGTTGTCTGAAGCCTCTAGCCACGTAACGCGCTTTGAATTTCGGCGACTCTCCAGGTGTGCGCTTCACCCTGTAGATCCACATTTCATCGACTATGTTTGCCCCAAGCGGGGGAACTGCATCGATGTAAGTGCATGTGGATCTGTAGGATGTCATCTCAGCCTCCATGGTCTGTATCCACTAGGCTGCCCAAGGCCCCAACACCACCTCAGCGAAAGAGCGCGGGACAGGGATGTCGAGGGCGTCTGAGTTGCCCTCTTAGGATACAAGCATGGAGTAGAGATGGGGTATAGCGGAAGCAAGGTAGGCCAGCTCATACTGCCTGTTCTCTAGCACGTCATTGCCCAGGGCAGGTGCAATCATGACGGATGGAAAGCTAGAAGTACCAGAGACCAGAGCGGCAGGTAGTCAAGGCGGTGGCTAGCAGCAAAGTCAACAATAGTAGCGACCAGCGTAGGGACAGACTAAGGAGGAGCAATGGGATCAGTAACAAGGGACGCAAGCAATCGCGAGAGGACTGGACGAGCAGTGCGAATAGAGTCAGTGGGAGGGGCAGGGGACGACGAGAGCGACGACTGGGGAAAAACAGTAGGACTGGGACTGTAGGAGCATGCGAACGAAGGACCATAGGGTGGACACTAGGGCGAGGAGAGACAAGACAAGCACCAAAGGGACGACGGACCCAGCAGTGAAAAACAGGTGACTGAGGGCGAAGGTGGAAGGGGGACAAGTTATGGGACGGGGGAGAGCACGGAGGGAAACAAGCCGGAGAGGAGTCCGGGGGAGGAAACAACAGGCCGTACACAGGGTCAAACGAATCGAAGGAGACACGAAGAAGATAAAGGGCAGTTTGCGGCTGCTCCTGCAGCTGCTGCTGCGCCTACTGTTGCGACTGCTTCTGCGGCTGATGATGCGGCTGATGCTGCTCTGTGTCAGCTCTAGGACATCCGGTTGCACCTCGGCTACCACTGGCGCTCTTTGGAACAACACCCCTAGGACTAGTACCCCCAGACGCACCACCCACAGAACCGGCACCCACAAAGTCACCACCCCCAGAACTCGAACCCACAGAACCGGCACCCACAGAGTCACCACCCCCAGAACTCGCACCCCCAGAACCAGCACCCCTGACACCAACTCCTCCAACATCAGCACCCCCAACACCAACACCTCCAACATCAGCACCCCAAGAACCAGCACTCCCAAAACCAGCAGCCCCAGAGCCCTCTGCCCCCTACTGCTGCTTTTGCAGCGGCCGCTGAGTTTGCTACGGCTGCTGCTGATGCAAGGGGGGAGGCGGTGGAGGTGTCTAGGGTACTGAGGTTTGGGGAGGTCCCCAATGGGCCGGACCGAGGTGAACAGAGTGGCATGAGAGACACCAGATGGGGCCGGGCGGGGTGGGAAGGGTGCAACAGGCTGGGCATGGACGGGGAAAAGAGGAGACACAGGAGCATTGAGGTGAGGGTAGCGCCTGTAGTAGGGAAGTGTCTTGTCAAAGATAACGCTACGAGAGCGGTAGATGCGGTGATGTGACGGGTGGTAGAACAGCCAGTCTGGGGCATCAAGCAGAAACCCCAGGAAGATACAAGGAAGGGTGCGGACTAAGAGCTAGTCCGCGCGAGTGTCGTGGATGTGAGTAAGGCCGGCTCAGACGTAAAACGCAGACGCATCACTAGGAGACCCGGTCCAGAGAAGGGTCGGTGAAACCAGCGGCTGCTGAAGCATAGCCACAGGTTAAGCTAGTGAGCAGCGTAACACAAAGCGAACTGCCACAGATAATGGAGTGCACCGGCGTGGACCATAGGCGCAAGCTACCTCCATGATCAGGCCGATTCGTCACTCAGCGACCCCATTCTGCTGTAGGGTGTCCAGTCGTGTGTACGTCTAGCAGATGCTCTCTATACGACGAGCTATCCAAGACGGCCAAAGGCCTCCACAATCAGAGTGTAAGCGAACTACAGGTGGCGGTGGTGGGTGCAAACAACAAAAAGCCATAAGAGGAGAACGGTAGGCATGTCGGCCTCCCACTCCACCGGGAAGACTGTGGTGAACCGCGAGAAGTTGTCAACGACAACTAGGAAGTAGCACTTCCGACTAAGACTATGGAGCGGGGCCGGGCCCCAGACATCCATGTGTAGTGTCTGTAGTGGCGATGTGGTAGGAGGAAAGGAGGAGGAGTGAGGGGCGATGCGCTGCCGGCCCTCGACGCAAGAGGTGCACAGTGGCGCTATCGACGCAGGTAAGGCGGGGAGCTATGCAGGGAGACTAGTGACTAGACCATGCTGGGACATGTGCCTAAGACGCAGGAGTGCCGGGTGACGTATGCGGTGGTGCCATAGAAGGGCCAGTGAGCGATAGGAACAGGACGCGGCGACCTCAGCCAACGCAGTAGCTTGCAGTGACTCAGTGTGCAAGGTGAAGAGACCGGACCTTGGGTCATGCTCAAAAGTGGCTAGGTGGCGACCGGTGGTTGTGTTTGTGCAAGCTGCTTTGCGCTCGCAGCTAGGGAACGTAGCGGTGACGTTTCTGTCCTAGAGGTGACTGACACCCACTAAGTTCTTGGCAAATGAGGGGATGTACAGACCAGTGAGGGAGCCGGAAGGGACAGATGGACAGGGGAGTGTGATGATGTGTATGACAGCTGTGGCAGAGGAGTCTGCTAGTGCGACGCGGACAGGTGTAGGCAGAGGGGTGAGAGCAGTACTGTATCTAAAGAAGCAACGAGATGCGCCAGTGTCTAGGATAAAGGAGAGGCCCAAGTGGTGGGGCCCACCGAAGGATCTCTAACAGAACCTATGCCTAACGCAACAAGGGATCCTAGACTACACACATCAGTGGCTCCTAGGCTACAAACATCATGATAACAGGCTGCGGCAGTAGAATTGTCAGCATACAGAGAGAAGGGGGCATGATTTATCTAAACCATATCCACATCAAAGATCGAAACACCACGATGAAGCAAGGTGAACCAGTGGGGTACTTGCACCAGGGGGTCAAAGTAGTGATGGTAGAGGTCGTCCAGGTGGTAGAAACAATGAGAGGCAGTGTGATCTGCGCGTGTGCAGACCTTGCCTGCTTGCGGGCCTGTCAGCACCTTGTACGTGCAAGTCACTGCGCCTCCAAGACCACCAAATCTCTTGCTCACAAAAGAGCCACTCGACCCCCACGGTACCAACTGCCCAGGGGCCCAACCTCCATGGCCACCACCACGACCACCACCCCCTGGGCCTGCTGGCTGCCACGACAGCTGCGGTTGCTGTTGCTGCTGCGGCTGCTGCTGCAAAGTCCCCGACTCCGATTGTCCACTCTCTTCACCCGCACTTGCACCCCCACCACCCGCTGCTGTCGAACCCCCATGACCCTTGCCCCCCTTGCCCTTGCCCTTGCCCCTCTAGCCCGAGGAAGCTGCCGTGGCGGTCTTAGTGGCTGCCGCGACCAGGGCAGAGGCTCCAGAGACAGGGAGCTGGGGGGTAGAGCAGCTCTGAAAGACGGGGACTTCCACCGTGCCAGCGGTGTCCGCGATGGCATGGAGATGCGATTCAACTGTCGTCAGCGCGGAGGAGAACTCAACAATAGTGAGAAAGGTGTGGGACACAATGAGGAGCACGTCTCGCGCAGGGGCAAGATGGTTAGGAAGGCGGGTGGCAAGGAGGTACAAGGTGATGTAGGTACGCAGGAAGTGGGTGGTGTAGTGCTCCTCAGGGCAAGCTGCACACCAGCGAGTCTTGAGGGAGTGCAGGTGCGCTACTTCAGCAATAGTGGGGAAGGAGACTAGGTCGGGGAACAGAAACGGCAGGACCACATGACCTAGGGTGGCTGAGGACTGGGTAGAGTAGCGAGCGACAACAGCGTCCCAGATACCCTTAGCAGTCTTGAGCATCTCAAAGTGAGTCTGCTCGTCAGGAGGAAGGGCCTTACTAACTACCAGCTGCGCAGCTGCGTCACAGGACTGCCACGCAGAGAAGGTGACTGGGGCAGTATCGAACTCAGTCCGCTGCTCGGATGTTGCGTCAGCAGCAAGAGCAGTAGGACCTGGAGGGGCAGCTAAGGTACCCGAAGTGTTGGCCACAAGGGCCTGGCCGTCTTGGCGGATGAACGTGAGCCGGCGACGGAGAGCGGCGAGCCAGGCCAAGAAGCCCACAGCGTGACCCTCTGCGTCGTCCCTGCGGCAGGCTGGGATGCCATAAAGCAGGTGGCGGGGACGATGACCGCAGCAGACACGGCTGTAGCTACTGCAGCAGCGGGCTGCTAGCAATGGGAGGTGAAGGCCGCAGACAACGGCACCTAGCGGCGGTAGCGAGCGACAGTGGTAGCGGCAATGACTGCAGCAGGAGCAGCGGCAACGGCAGTGAGTGGCAGTGGGCGATAGTAGGCAGTAGGCGGCAGCGGCTGCTGGTGGCTGCTGGCTGGCCGACCAGCGGCGTGTTGGCTGGCGGCTGCGACCAGCGGCTGGTTGCTGGCTGCTGGCTGCTGGCTGCTAGCTGGCGGCTGCTGACTGGTGCTGAATGGCGAGCCAGTGGCAAGCTGGCTGGCGGCAGCGGCTAGCAGCTGCTAGTGGCTGCTGGCTGGCGGCTGCTGGCAGCTACTGGCAGCGAGGTGGGGGCGTGCTGGCGGCTAGCGGCTGACTGGCGGCTGCTGGCTAGCGCCTGCTGACTGCTGCTGGCTAGCAAGGCAGCGGCGAGCTGCCTGGTGGGAGTGGCTAGTAGTTGCTGGCGGCCGCTGGCTAGCGGCTGCTGGAGGCTAGCGGCGGCTTCTGGCAGCAAGCTGGTGGCGTGCTGGCAGCTGGCAGCTGCTGGTGGCTAGAGGTGGCTGCTGGTGGCTGCGGCCGGCGAGCTGGCGGCGTGCTGGCGACTAGCGGCGAGCTGGCAGGCAAGCTGGCGGGGGCTGCTGGCGGCAAGCTGGCTGGTGCTGCTGGTGGCGAGCTGGCTGTCTCTGCTGGTGTTGAGCTGGCCGGCTCTGCTGGTGGCGAGATGGCTGGCTCTCCTGGCGGTGAGCTGGCTGGCTATGCTGGTGGCGAGCTGGTGGGCTATGCTGGCGGCGAGCTGGCTGGATGGCTGCGTATGAAACGAATGGGAACGCTAGTGGGGGAGGAGGGGGGTGGGGGGGGGGGGTCCTACGAACGAAAATTGCGCGAAGAAGAAGAAGAAGAAGAAGAAGAAGAAGAAGAAGAAGAAGAAGAAGAAGAAGAAGAAGAAGAAGAAGAAGAAGAAGAAGAAGAAGAAGAAGAAGAAGAAGAAGAAGAAGAAGAAGAAGAAGAAGAAGAAAAAGAAGAAGAAGAAGAAGAAGAAGAAGAAGAAGAAGAAAGAAGAAAGAAGAAGAAGAAGAAGAAGAAGAAGAAGAAGAAGAAGAAAGAAGAAGAAGAAAGAAGAAGAAGAAGAAGAAGAAGAAGAAGAAGAAGAAGAAGAAGAAGAAGAAGAAGAAGAAGAAGAAGAAGAAGAAGAAAGAAGAAGAAGAAGACAAAGAAGAAGAAGACAAAGAAGAAGAAGAAGAAGAAGACAAAGAAGAAGAAGAAGAAGAAGAAGAAGAAGAAGAAGAAGAAGAAGAAGAAGAAGAAGAAGAAGAAGAAGAAGAAGAAGAAGAAGAAGAAGAAGAAGAAGAAGAAGAAGAAGAAGAAGAAGAAGAAGAAGAAGAAGAAGAAGAAGAAGAAGAAGAAGAAGAAGAAGAAGGAAAAGAAGAAGAAGAAGAAGAAGAAGAAGAAGAAGAAGAAGAAGAAGAAGAAGAAGAAGAAGAAGAAGAAGAAGAAGAAGAAGAAGAAGAAGAAGAAGAAGAAGAAGAAGAAGAAGAAGAAGAAGAAGAAGAAGAAGAAGAAGAAGAAGAAGAAAAACAATGACAACGGAAGCGTGGTGCTAGGAAGATTTTCTAACCTAGCTCCATACCATGTGAAACTAGTGAGAGAAAAGTTGACTAGAAAGTGGGGAGTAGAAATATAATCAGAGTATTATTCCCTCACAACAAGCATATCTACTCTAACTAGATATGAATATAATGCAATATATATTTGTTGACAGTCACACCCTTCGTATTCTGTTGTAACATTATATGAACCCTGTATGCCTATTGTTTGAATCATCTTCTTAAGCTACATTCATGCTGACAGGGTCATCGACCAATCACAACGCTTCCGTAAAGCACTCTACGTCGAGTGTTCAATCCTGACAATCCCACAACCTTTTTGTGATCACTTCAGCTCGTGCCAAGGCTCCGGCCGCAGGTCAAAGCCGAGGCAGAAGCTCAAGGCGTGAAGGCGCGACTTGAAGGGGTGCACAAAATGCCATTAAATGAAGCAGGTGACGCAGAGGAAGGAAATGAGACTTCCCGGGCATGGTCAGCGCGTACGTTTACAATTCACCTTTATGGTTCAGTGTGGTTCTCTTTGAAGTGGTCCAATGTGGTGAGTGATGCATGAAAGCCACTCCGGACCGCGATGCATCTTACAAAAGCGTGATCCGCTGGTCGCATGGACTCCACGCGGCACTTGCACAGGGGCAGTGTGAACCAACATGGTGCTAGGCTCAGCCTGATCTTGGTGTTTTGTCTTGGATACAAAGCTCGGACCTGTTTTTGAATAGCCTGATCCTGATATCTGTTCGGTAGGAACACGCCTTAAACATACATGCCGGACACGCCCTTACAGAAATTGTGGTACCATGTTTCCATAATTACTTCGGTGCGCACATGATGAGCTCATACACCCTCCTACTGATGGCAACTCCAGCAGCCCTCCCCTTCACGTGCACACCACACAGTAGCCACTTTTATACCTCCCGCTCACCCTCCTGAGCGTGGTATGCGTGGGAGGTACGGGATGGGGGATGAGGAGCAACAAGGGAGAGGACAGACGAGTGTGAGAGAGGCAACACCGACAGCCCTCCCCTTCACATGCACGTTGCATAGTAGCTGCACTTGTGCCTCCCTGTTGCCTTCCTAGCATGGGGGTGAGAGGCAAGGTGGAGCAAGGAGGAGGTGAGTGGGAGGCACGGGATGGGGGGTTGGAGGGAGACGAGAGGGGGGTAGATCAGGATCAAGGTAGCCCCAATAGCCTTCCCCTTCATGTGCACGCCACGTTGCAGCCGGGCATGAGGGTGAGGGGCATAGGATTGAGCTGGAGACATGAGACAAGGGAGAAGGGGAGAGAAGAGAAACCAGGATGAGTGAGTTGGGTGATGATGATTGAGCTGGGTGATGATGAGTGAGTTGGGTGATGATATGATTGAGCTGGGTAATGATGAATGAACAAGGTGATGATGAGTGAGCTGGTTGATGATGAGTTAGCTGGGTGATGATGATTGAGCTGGGTGATGATGAATGAACTTGGTGATGCTGAGTGAGTTGGGTGATGATGAGTGACCTGAGTGAGATATGATTGAGCTGGGTAATGATGAATGAACTGGGTGATGATGAGTGATCTGGGTGATGATAAGTGAGCTGGGTGATGATGAATGAGCTGGGTGATGATGAGTAATCTGGGTGATGATAATTGAGCTGGGTGATGATGAGTGAGCTGGGTGATGCTGAGTGAGCTGGGTGATGATGAGTGAGCTGGGTGATGATGAGTGATCTGGGTGATGATAAGTGAGCTGGGTGATGATGAATGAGCTGGGTGATGATGAGTGAGCTGGGTGATGATGATTGAGCTGGGTGATGATGAGTGAGCTGGGTGATGCTGAGTGAGCTGGGTGATGATGAGTGAGCTGGGTGATGATGAGTGAGCTGGGTGCAGTTGGGAAGAAGAGGACGGAGTGGATGATGTGATGAGTGAGGATCAGAATTGATACGCAGAATTGCACCTCAAGGCATTGACACGCCACTTTTTTTGGAGAGGGGAGGGTGGGAGAGTGGAACCATGAGGTTTCTGTCAGCAAGATTTAGTGAGACAGCAGCAGTTGTAGCTTGCCATATGACCTAGCAAAAACAGCAGAAAAAAGAACAGCAGGGAAGGGGGGCGCACCAGGAGGGCATAGGCGGAGTGGAGAGTGTGCAGGGAGGGGTAGTGGCGCCGGATGGTAGAGGCCATGTCTACTGCCAGGCCTCGCATCTAGTGGCAGGAGAGGGTACGGTGCGGTATGAGGGGGTAGGCTGGGGTATGGATGGGAGGATGGCATTGGCCATGTGTGCAGGGAGGGGTAGCGGTGCAAGATGGCATAGGCCATATCCTCTGTGAGGCTCTGAACCTGGTGGCACGAGGAGTGAGGGGATGTGGGACATGAGGATGCGAGCAAGGGGATGAAATGTAACGGAAGAGCAGATTGGCAAAAGGGACGGTCCTGCAGTATCCTAGCATTGTGACCATTGGCGCATAGTGCCTCCTAGGGTGCGCGATGCATATGGTGTGGTGCACGTCAAAGCCGTCGTGCACTAGCGTCTGGACAGAGCTGGTGGGATGAGAGGGGGGCGAGGGAGACACGGTAGGAGATGAAGGGAAGGGAAGGGAGAGCGAGTGTGAGTGATGCATGCAGTGAGGTGCACATCCAAGCCGTCACGAGTGCTTCTAGAATTCCACTCGCTCGACTCAACTCAAGGATTTAGCTACACGAGTGGGCATGGCTGAGAACAATGGCCTCTACCCCTAATGATTAATGGCTGGAGCTTCTCCTTGCATTGGTTGTGGATTGGACAATGCGAAAAGGTGAAAGAACTACTTTCATCTCTTGAAGCGTGAGAGAGCTCTTGGATTGTATGGGGATACATATGAAATTAGAAAATGGCATGGTAATGTGCAGTCAGTGCACATGCATGAGGACGAGACAACATACGCCATGCACAAGCTCTCAGCGCCGTTGCTGGTGTCCAGATTGCCATCCACTATGTAGATTGGGCAGCGAAGACAGCAGCGCTGGGAGGGAACAGGGAAGGGGAGGGAGAGAAATTGTGAGTGGAAGGGAGGCTTCTAAAGCGAGCTTGCCTTTGACCACGTAAATTGGCCAATGGTCACAATGCAAGGATGGAAGAGTGCAATGAAGGTGACATAAGGCCTGCCCAGGTGTCAGATTGCCTGGTTAATTCATCGAGCAGAATGATAGGGGGCTCGAGGGGGATGGCACCCAAAGTCGTTGGACAGCCAAATGGGACAAGGACCCCTGATCTTCTAGGCAAGTCATGTGATGAAAAGAATCATGCAGACCGAACCTGGGATAACAGAACTAAGGATGAAGCTTAACAATTGAATAGGCCAAGGGATGTAGGCCATAACTTCGAAGGCTGAGGGGTGCAAGCCATGACATAAGTGACACATGCACATTATAACCTCCATGAATCGCTCTCACACGCACACTTACATGCAGACTCATACCCTGCCCCTCCCACCCTCTCCTACCCACAATGTGTGAGTCTGTGCCTCCCACCCACCTTGATGCGCATCGTTTGGTCCTTGAAGCGGTTGGGTTTAGACATCAACAAATCGCGAGGGGAGTGATACTCGCCTTGCTTTGAGCCTTACTTGCCAGTGAGTGACTGAGCCACCCAAAGGGCATCGACCATAGCCAGTGGGGTTACCTGGTTGGGTGGTGGCAGGGAAGCCGGAAGCATGACAAGAACGCAAGACATCATCCAGGCCAAGGAGCATCGCCTACAGGCAGTATGGCCAGGAAGATGTGGCAGTGTTACCACTTGGTGACAATGGCAGAAGAGGTGGAAGACGCAGAGAAGGAGGGAACAGAAATATGTATATAGAGTTGATCCAGAGCTGCTAAACACCTTGGAAATGCTGATTCGGAAGTGTCAACAATGTGATGGCATGTCATGCCATGTAATGTTGGAGGCCTTGTAGCAAGGTACCTGTTCTAGAACAAACATAGAAACGTACTTGTGCTGGAACCCACAAAGCAAGGTACCTGTGTTGGAACCCACAAAGCAAGGTACCTGTGTTGGAACCCACAACGTAAGGTACCTGTGTTGGAACCCACAAAGCCAGGTACCTGTGTTGGAACCCACAAAGCAAGGTACCTGTGTTGGAACTCACAAAGCAAGGTACCTGTGTTGGAACCCACAAAGCAAGGTACCTGTGTTGGAACCCACAAAGCAAGGTACCTGTGTTGGAACCCACAAAGCAACGTACCTGTATTGGAACCCACAAAGCAAGGTACCTGTGTTGGAACCCATAAAGCAAGGTACCTGTGTTGGAACCCACAAACCTAGGTACCTGTGTTGGAACCCACAAAGCAAGGTACCTGTATTGGAACCCACAAAGCCAGGTACCTGTGTTGGAACCCACAAAGCAAGGTACCTGTGTTGGAACCCACAAAGGAAGGTTCCTGTGTTGGAGGCCTTGTATCAAGGTACCTGTTCTGGAACAAACATAGAAAGGTACTTGTGCTGGAACCCACAAGCAAGGTACATATGTTGGAAACCACAAAGCAAGGTACCTGTGTTGGAACCCATAAATCAAGGTACCTGTGTAGGAACCCACAAAGCAAGGTACCTGTGCTGGAACCCACAAAGCAAGGTACTTGTGTTGGAACCCACAAAGCAAGGTTCCTGTGATGTAACCCACAAAGCAAGGTACCTGTGCTAGAACCCACAAAGCAAGGTACCTGTGTTGGAACCGACAAACCAAGGTACCTGTGTTGGAACACACAAACCAAGGTACCTGTGCTGGAACCCACAATGCAAGGTACCTATGCTGGAATCCACAAAGCAAGGTACCTGTGTTGGAACTCACAAAGCAAGGTACCTGTGTTGGAACGCACAAACCAAGGTACCTGTGCTGGAACCCACAAAGCAAGGTACCTGTGTTGGAACCCACAAATCAAGGTACTTGTGCTGGAACCCACAAAGCAAGGTACCTGTGTTGGAACCCACAAAGCAAGGTAACTATGCTGGAACCCACAAAGCAAGGTACTTGTACTGGAACCCACAAGGCAAGGTACCTGTGTTGGAACCTACATAGCAAGGTACCTGTGCCGGAACCTTCTCCACTTTGGTGAGTTTCCCTGCAAGCTGCGGTGCTCTGTGG